TGTCATTTCCCAGCAACCCATCGTATCACCAAATGACAAATATCCTTTAGAAGAATTCAACCTCTATTGACTGAATTTTTCCACTGCACGGGTTTATCCATCATCTTAGAAGTTTGCATAGAGATTATTCTTTTTCCTATTCTGAAGAATATCTCAAATCATTTCATGATTTGGCTATTATATATACAGCACAGGGGCTTGTTTGGCAGTTGAAAGTATTTTGTGCAACTCACTGGACATAGACCTCTAGACTACTGCATGAGCTCATCCTTTGAGGAGATTGTTGAAAGATACTGGCACTGGGGGAGCTGGGTCCTGGTTAAAGGAACTAGGTCACTGGGGTCTTGTCATTTCACAGTATAAGGTGCCTTGGTTTTGTCTTATAAGTTTTCTGTTTCCTTTTTGTCATGAGGTGAGTTGCTCTGCCCCATTCTCCACCCCTTGCCTCACTGAGGCCCAGGGTAGTGCAGGCATTAGACCAATTAGATGAAAACTCTGAAACTATGAGACAAACCTGTAACTCCAAAACTATATTCTTAAGTTGTTTTTCTAATGTATTTTGTCAGAGGAATGAAAAACTCATTAACCTACCAAAATAGATAAAAATCAGATTCCAATAATTACTCTTTGGGAATAATGTGGAACCTATTTTCTATAATATTCCATTTAGAAAATGAGTTATAAAGCCAAGTAGTGGTGACACATGCCTTTAATCCCTGTACTCTGGAGGCAGAGGCAAGCAGATCTCTGAGAGTTTGAGGCTAGCCTAGTGTACAAGAACTAGTTCCAGGACAACTGTAAAGCCTTCAAAGCTACAGAGAAACCCTGTCTCGAAAAACCAAATAAAAACAAACAAACAAATGAACAAACAAACAAGGAAATGTGTTATAATATAAAAAATGAGAGGGAAAACAATGTTGATATTATCAGTATTGTGTTATGATCACAAGGCATCACCAGAACAGTTAGATGCACAGAGAAGCTCAAATACAGACTGTCAACCTTCAGCATTTATGCAAGAAAATCACTTATTTGGCAATTTTGAAACCACTGTAATAATCATAGTTCAATACAATTAATATCATCCTAATATGCACATTTCTAAGCTTGCCATTTAGTTTTAATAAGTACGAGAGAGCCAGTGGACTTTTATTATGTTTTATGAAGATGTTTCCCTCAGTGATATATGTAGTTTTCTGTGTGCTGTGGGTGTTTTTTTTTTTTTTTCAGGAGTCCCAATTCTGACGTTAGATACTGAACCCAGGTTCAGCTTTTTCAGGCTTTCCTTTTATAATAGTATTTGATTTGAACTCCTGGTGAGATCTGTGGCTTTACAAGTTTGCTTCCAAGTTTTTGTCGCACATTTGTCTTTCTCTAGATGATAACTGACACAAACCCAGAATCTGCCACAGTTCAACTTTCTTTCCCAGGTTATAATAGGAATTCAACAAAGTGCAACTGAATGAACCAAGCAAATGTCCATTCCTTATAAGACATGTACCAATTCTATGAAATTAATAACCACACATGTAAATGTAAAGAGGCTGATATTTTTTTTTCTGTTTTAGGGGCTGAAGAATGATGAGGCAGAATAAAGTGTTACAGAACATGTGATAGACAAGATATGTCTCCTCACAGCAGTTTTTAACAATATTAACAAACTACTCATTCTGGGTTTGGACTATGGGGATTTGAACGAGCTGTTCTACAGCATTATTGCAATAGTATCGGCATACAAAGTTGTAAAAATGAGGTTAATAGTTAAGGTTAATGTGGGATGTAGGGAGATGGGTGTTTTTACTAGTTATTGGTCACTTGCTACCTTATGAAGTTACTTTAAACTTTTTACAGGTAGCTTTTGGACTAGTTACTGAGCTGCATCCTGATTGTTCATTATTATCTATCTGCTCACAAAAACTATGTGTTTAGCTTGATGGAATAATGATGCCACAGGACTGACCTAGCCATGGACCACACCGTAATGAGTAAGGTGCTCTTCTACAAAATTCCAAAATATTTTCAACTTTTGCCAAAGGGACAGAGATGCAAAATGAACTCATGTGTGCCTTTGATTCCACTTTCATCCATGCCTGATAAGCATGTGATGAACCGGGACTGCTGAAAACTGAAAGGCCAGCTGCTCCAATAGATTCCCCCACTGTGACCAAGTTCCTGTTGACTATTACACTTCTAATACACTGTAATAATTACATTTTTAATTCTCTTTTTTCCATAACCTTCCTCTTGCCAAGATTGATATCGATCTTTAAGGTTGCAATTCTTTCCCATGCAAACTTCCTGAACAGAGGATATACTAGGTGTGTACCAAGGCATCCAGACCATAATCCTTATGGATTCTACTTTTCAAGTCTAGCTGATAGTTTTGAATATACAATTTAATCTTATTAAATGTTTCTACACAGTTTTGTTCATGTACCTGTCATAGTCTATTATTATATATTCTAAAATCTGGAGTAATTTTGACAGGATAACAGGAGAAACTACCATAAGAGGGCTGCTTCCATTCTCATGGGAAACACCTGCTCATCTGGATGGGATGATAAAGCAGCATGGAAGATTCAGAGATCTTACACAATGCCTCATTCAGAGCCTCCCACCCTTTGCCTATAGACTGTGAATTTCCCTCTTTATCCTCATGGGTGATGTCAGACTGCCTCAAAGAAGCTATTTCTCATTTCTTCCTTTTGCTCTTCCCATTTCTTGATCTGTTGTCTTTCCCAGACAGTCCATTTTTTGCCCGTCACACATAACAAATCCCACTTCTTGGCTGTATGTCAACTTTTATTTATTTTTACTTATTTATACTCTTTCTCAGTAAAATTTGTTTTTTTTACTGTTTTGTAGTTTTAAATTTCAAGCATTCTTTTGCTAGCAACCTAACACAGATCTCCAACACACAATTACCTAGATTCTGTTTGCTTTGGTGGGTACTAGGAAGGTAAGAGTATTAAGTCCATTATTCCTAAGTCCACACCCATTATAATTTAGTATATAGACCTGGACTTTTCTAGTAATTAAGAAAATATTACTTAGAGACCAACCTCAGTGATAATTGGTTAGACTATCAGCATGCTATTCTTTGCCATCAATGTCTTTATATGGAACATGGAGCCTGAGAACAGAAAAGAAAATTTCCTGGTTTCCAATAAATCTTTTTTTTTAAGATAAAGCAATATATGTGGTTCTGTGTATGTGTGACTTGGAGCTATATTTTCATATAAAGTATTCCATAACAGCTTCAGAGATATGTGATTATTGCAGATTATAATTTTTATTTTGTTAGACCAAAGCCTATTCGTATATTCCCCATGTGATGTTAATACTAAAAAATTAGTTTTTTTTGTGTTTCACAACTAAGGATGAGGTTACCACAGCCCACAGGCCTACTGAACAATTTGTGTTTAAAAGCAAATTCTTTTGTATGCCTGAAGTGGTGACAGGAGGGACAAAGGGATTCACTGAAATATTTGCTCACCTGCAGTCTAGAATGCTACCCAATAAGAGAAGACAGTTTAGACAACAATTATTTAAGTCAGTCATATGGAAAATAGGAAAAGTATTTATAAACACCAGCCATTCTTAGTTAAAGGAATATAGTCATTACGGTTGTTTTATGTCAACTTATCATAAATTTTAATCACTAAACAGGTATCTTCACCTGAAGAATTGTCCTGTTTTCCTTAACTGATTCAAGAAGATCCATCCCAGGGGTGGCTGGTACCTTCTGGATGCAGCCCAGATGAATGGGACATAGCAGAATGAAGATTCCTTTTGCCCCTTGACCTCCCTGTTGCCACGGAGTTGATCTGTACTGATGCTGCTGCAACTATTGCTATTGATACTTTTGCTGATCTCAGGACTAAAATTTTCATGGTTAGTGAAGGACTACTGATGGAGGTGGGTCTTGTAATAATAAAGAAACTGCCTCAGCCCTCATAGGACAGAAAATTAGGTAGGCGGAGTAGACAGAAGAGAATTCTGGAAAAAGGAAGGTTAGTGGAGGAGTCGCCATGGTTCTCCCGCTCCAGACAGATGCAGGTTAAGATCCTCCCTGGTAAGCCAGCTCGTGGGCTACACAGAATATTAGAAATGGGTTAGAACAATATGTAAGAGCTATCCAATAAGAAACTGGACCTAGCCGGGCCAGGCAGTGTTTTAAAGAATACTGTTTCTGTGTAATTATTTCTGGGTATAAACTAGCCATGCGGACGGCCGGGTGCCGGGGACGCAGCCCTGCTGCCGCTCCTAATTCAACAGATGGCGCCCAACGTGGGGCTAAATCCACTTAAAAACCTGAGAGGGCTTAAAAAGGAGAGAGAGAAAATTTAAGACAGCTTTTTGCTGTTTCTGGGTTGCGTGCTGCAAAGAAATTGTCCTGACTCGGCAGCAGGAAAAAACTGGCTGTTTTAAAATGCCGGCTTTCTGGGCTGTGCCGCCATTATGATCTCTGTCTGGCTCCGGCAGGAGACAGAGCATATAAATGGAGCATTTGGATTAAAGAGCTACGATTTGTTTGATGGCAACTAGACTGCTGTGTGCCTTAAAGGGGACATTGTGTGCCGCAGCTCAGAGACACAAGCAGCTCCGCCATGCTACTGGTGCAATGTGCAAGGATCAGAGGCACGAGTGGCTCTGCCATGTTGGACTGGGCGGGGCCAGCATACAGTACCTGTTTTTGACCTAGAAATGTCACAGCTTAGATTCTTAAGCGCTTAGTGATTTAAAGGCGCAAAACAAAGTGCTCCTGGATAGTAAAAAAGTTACAGATTCACAATAAAACAGATTCAGACACTGTTGGATAAATGTACGTAGGCTTGGAAAAGAAAAGAAAAAGAATATAAAAAATAAAGTTAATGTCTTAAAAAGAAAAAGGGTAAAGTCTTTAAAGAGACAGAGTACAGAAATACAGATAGTTATAGATTAAGAAAAATAAAAAAAAATAAGCCACGTAAAAATGAAAAATTCACAGAGAGTCTGGATTATGTACATTGTGTTTTCTTTAAAATTTTTGACTGTGAAGGAGCTAAGTACAGAGAGACATTTTGTTACATGGGCTGCCAAGCTAAACCAGAATGGATATAAGGGTATTACGATTTCAAAATTTGGGTCAAAGGATATGATGCTTTGGAGAGGGTCTTCTTTTGTTTTTACAGAGGATGTGACCCTGTGGATTGCATCTATCCCGGTATGGTATGATAGACCACGTCCTCCTGAAAGGTTGCTGTGAACACCCTCAAAAAATTACTTCACTCAACTGCCAACTGAGATGAACCTGGCACACAGGTTACACCCTAAACGATCTAATTAACGACACCCCTATTCAGCAGGAAGCAGTTTGGAGAAAAGAAACTACGCCCATGCTCCCAAATATTGTTTATAAATGTTCTTTTACATTTAAAGGGGGATATGATATAGATATGAATAATTTGCATTGGTATGGATTTTATGGTCAATTTTGTTATATGTATATGTATTTTTGAACTTGATTAAGGTATTGTGATTATGTAGTTCATTTAAAAATGTACTTTTAATTAGGAAATATAGGTTGTTAATGGATAATAGTCAAACTTGTAGTCATGTTAGATTTTCTAGATATATAGAGATATCTTTCAGTTAAATAGGCATTCTTCATATCTTTCAAAGACTGCAGAATATGGCATTTTAAATGTTTTAATAACTTAGGGCTTTTCATGACAATGAGACACGTCTGCTCCTAGCAGCACCAGCTACTTCAAGAGGAAGATGGGCATCGAAGAGGATCCTTATGGAGTTTGATAGCCATTTGGGCAAGAAACTGTTCTTGCCTGGACTGTTGCATAAACTGGACACAGAGAACCCGCAGAGAGAGGACTGCTGAACTTGCCTAAAGGTGAGATGCTCTTTCGGGGTTCCTGCTTCATGAAAGAGTCTGCAAGACATTCTGAAGGACACAGCAGAAAATGACTAAACTGTCTTTGGAATTTCCTGCTTCATGGAAATGTCTCTGGATACCATGGGCCTATAGGCCGAAGATGGATGCCCCAACGGTACAGAGGAACTTTGGGTGACTGTCCAGGCAGCGAGATGTCTCTGTCATTTCTAGAGTTTTCTTATTTCTTGTTTACTTAAGTATTATTATATCCTTCTGGAGTCTTTGATGGAGTTGAAGAATGAATAGTTATAGTTTTCCTTTGTTATGATAAAAGATAAAATAGATATAAATATTGTAACTGTAATTCTTACTTGATAACTGTTTTGTTATATGTAATTTTACTATGTTAAAATTAAAGCCTTTCTTTTTTGTTTAAACAGAAAAAGGGGAAATGATGGAGGTGGGTCTTGTAATAATAAAGAAACTGCCTCAGCCCTCATAGGACAGAAAATTAGGTAGGCGGAGTAGACAGAAGAGAATTCTGGAAAAAGGAAGGTTAGTGGAGGAGTCGCTATGGTTCTCCCGCTCCAGACAGATGCAGGTTAAGATCCTCCCTGGTAAGCCAGCTCGTGGGCTACACAGAATATTAGAAATGGGTTAGAACAATATGTAAGAGCTAGCCAATAAGAAACTGGACCTAGCCGGGCCAGGCAGTGTTTAAAAGAATACGGTTTCTGTGTAATTATTTCTGGGTATAAACTAGCCATGCGGACGGCCGGGTGCCGGGGACGCAGCCCTGCTGCCGCTCCTAATTCCTACGAACCAGTAATTTTCCCTAGTCCTCCCAGGTTCTTGGTGGCGAGGCAGAACTATTGAGATGCACCATCTCAAGGACAGAACAACTACTGAGTTCTTAGTCTTTCTGATTGGATTTAGCTGTTGTCACTATTTTAATATAATAGATAATATATGTATGCATATACATATTAGTATATAGTGCATTCCATTGGTTCTATTCCCCCCAAAGAAACCTGATAAATACAGTAACCTGTGGAGTTAGCACTTGATTTTCAATCTTCACAATAAATTCTTAAATGGTATATTTGCTTTTGTTTAGGTTTTCTTAAAATATACTTTCTGTATATGAGCCAATATCTTACCACGTAGCCCAGACTTGCCTGGAACTCATCATAGGCCAGCCTAACCTCAATCTCACAACCCCCAAACTCAGCATCATAGTGCTAAGATTATACCACGATATTCACCTCTCAAACACATAGAGCTTTATGCTTTGTGTTTAGTTCAAGTATGTGATGCTTTCAGAGAAAATAAAAGCTAATGACTAGTAGCTTTAATCAAAATTAAATTAGTTCATAGCTTTTCTTACAAACTTAAAGGATTTCATTTACCACACTGCTAAGTCATTTTTATTTCATGTGTTTTGTACATTTACTTTAAGATTGTATTTCCTGAGAAACACAGCCTGCTACTACACAGAGAGGACAAAGAAGTAAATGACCAGCCACCCAGCAGAACACCCGACTCTCTAGGCCCTCCATACCAGGGCAAAGATCTAGGTCTCTTCCCTACTTGACTCTGCTTCTCTAGCCAGCTGGAAGGAGAGTTTCCTGTAGTTAGGTTGCTCCAATATCCCTATCCCAACAATCAGACTCTGCAAGCTACAAGTCCCACCCTGCCCCAAACCCACCTATCCCCCTGAAACCTAGGTGGAATTCTGAAACACAACCCACTTCTACACAGAAAAGACTAAGAGGTGAGTGATAAGCTGATGGGCAGTTTACCCCACTCTCTAGGCCCTCCATACTGGGGCAAAACCCTGGAACCCTCCCTTAGCTTCCTAGGCTTCTAAAGCCAGCCATCAGGTGAGTTTCCTGTAGTTAGGCTGCTCCAAAACACCTGAGACACATACAGTGACAATACAGAACAGTTTCCAAGACACTGACAGTCACTGCAAGAATTAGACCAAGATACAAGACACTGCAGGAATTAATTGAAGAAAGAAATGGGTAGGTGCCAATGTAAGAATTCATCCAACAACCTAAAAACCAACATAGTAACACCAGAACCCAGTAGTCACACAACAAAAAGGCTTGATCATCCTAGCCCAGAAGAAGCAGAAGAAAATAATTTTAAGTATAATGTTATGAAGATGATAGAGACATTTAAAGAGAAAATAAAAAATTTTCTTAATGAAATAAAGGAAAAGACAAACAAAAAATGAGAGAAATTAATAAATCTCTCTAAGAAACTCAAGAAAACCAATCAAACAGTGAGGGGAATAGTTTAAATGGTTCAAGACATGAAGACTGAAATAGAGGCAATAAAGAAAACACAAACCAGGGAATTCTGGACATAGAAAATCTGTGTAAATGAATGGGAACTACAGAGGAAAACATAACCAACAAAATACCAGAGATGAAAGAGAGACTCTCAGGGGTTGAAGATAATCTGGAGGAAATGGATTCATTGATGAAAGAAAACATTGAATCCAGCAAATTCTTAACACAAACCATCCAGGGAATCTAGTACACCATGAAAAGACCAAACCTAAGAATAATATGGATAGAAGAAGGAAAAGAACTCCAATTCAAAGGCACAGAAAATACATTCAACAAAATCATAGAAGAAAACTTTCCTAACCTCAAGAAGGATATCCCTATGAAGGCAAGAAGCTTATAGAACACCAAATAAACTGGATCAAAAAAAGTTCCCTCAGCTTATAATAATCAAAACACAAAACATACAGAATAAAGAAAGAATATTAAGAGCTACAAAGGAAAAAGTCCAAGAAAAATATAAAGGTAGACCCATCAGAATTACACCCGACTTCTGAATGGAAACTATGTAAGCCAGAATGTCCTGTGTTGGGGGAGGCCACTTGTCCATTCTCGGCTGCCCAGACTCAAAATAATCACACAGAAACTATATTATTTAAATCACTGGTTGGACAATCACTTAAGCATATTGCTAGTTAGCTCTTATATCTTTAATTTCTATTAATCTGTATATCTCTATGTGGGTGTGGCTTACCAGCAATGTTTTGTCCAGTGTCTGTCTCTGGCGTGGCAACATGGCTTCTTCCAACATCACCTTCTTTCTCCCTGCATTCAGTTTAGTTTTCCCCATGTAGTTCTACCCTGACCTATTACAGGTCCAAGGCAGCAATGTGCCTTATACTTTCTAAGGAGTTGATGGGGGTGGGCTAGAAGGGAATGGGAGGAGGGGAGGGAATAGGAACTGGGATAGGTATGCTAAATGAGAAAAGATAGTTTGTTTTCTTTTAAAAAAATAATAAAAGATTGTATTTTCTCTCTTAAATTTTAGTCAGAAGTGAATATAGGAAGAAGAAATAGCATAGAGCAAGTGCATTGACACAGTTTGTTACTCTCACAAAAGGACAAAGGAAAATCTACTTTGAGATCATTAAAATTCCCTCTTTCATTTTGGCATGTGTCATGGGATCCCTTAAAGTAGAGGAAGGAATGCAAATACTTTATTGCTCAGCTGGAGATATTAAATTTTTAAGTATCTGAAAGATATCCTGAAATGCCCCACAGAATAACAAGTCTCCCAGAGTTTTACTTAACATTTTATAAGTTTTAAAATGCTGAGTACAAGGATAGCTGAAGCAGGCAGATTGTCATGAGTTTGAGGCCAGCCTGAAATACACAGTAAGAGCCTGTTTTTAGAAGGAAAAATGAAGCAAAGCAAATTAAAATTGAAAGTAATTATTATTCTCAAGACTAGGTTGTCTCACATGTATATGAATCAAAGTCAGAATGGAATAAGGTGAGTTAAGGTAATACAATAAATCTTGAAAAAATATGACCAAAAATGCAAGGAAATCAAGCAACTACTTTTAAATTTAAGTTTCATTAAGGTGGCATCCGATGCCACAACCATTGACAAACCTCACAAGAGAGATTGACAAGTATTTGTTACTCCTTAATAAAGAGAATCTTGAACAGCTACTTACTGGAACACTTGGAATAGGAAGGATAAAAGAAGAGAACTGTATATTTCAATTCAATGAGCGGAGTTCTGAGGCCAATTGTAGGATCTTCTGTACTTATGCTCAATGCGACTATCTTATTTAGAGTCGCTCATGATTGACTGTGATAACAGAAGGGCCCACAGCCGTATCATGATGGCAAATTCTAAGCGCTGGAACGATTAGTTTCAAAAACCTATGATCCTGTTAAATAGGGGCAAATAAAGATCGTGGGAACCCCATTAAATAACAGCCAGTAATTCAAACCTTGAACTGTGGGTACCATATTGCTCTGAGCAGCCAGACCTCCTGTAGAGTCTGGGAAGAGGCAGCTTCCAGCCAGCTGCGGTTAGTTAGACCCAGGACAAGCTTAATGGTGGCAGCGGTGCCAAGCCTTAAAGAGGCAAAGCTCATAAATCAATGAAGAGTCATCATGTGGCCTCAGCAAGGCAGGAACTCATGCTGAGGCACTGATGCCTTCATCCAAATGCAACTGATGAAGTAATAACTGCCTTGCTAAGCTAAAAATGCATCATCAAACTATCCCATCTTCTAATGGATCATTATTTTATCTAGGACACATGAAAAAAAAGTTTCTAAAATACACTCAAGTACATTAAAGAAAACT